CGGGAAGTTACTACTGTGTGGCAGCAAATGTTCACGGGAATCAGACCTCATTGTGGAATCATTTACAAGATGAAGGTAAGAGGACACCTTCATGTTGCGTGTGTTTGAGCTGCATTTTTTTCATGTGGATTGTAAAGTAGAAAGTTTTTACTTAAATTTGTAACTTTTCAGTAACTTTTTTCTATCAACAGGGAGTTTTACACTGGCCACTGCAGTTATCATGGTGATCATTTTCATTGTGCTCATCTGCCTGGTTATTTATGCTTGGTGAGTATGAAAAATCTATCCCAGTATGGTTCTTCAAAGTGAAACTGAGGCTGATTTAAAGTTAGGAACATGATCAATGCATTAGTTTCTAATCGTATTTGTGAACCAGAAATGGCCTGAGATGAAAACACATCAAATGTGTTTTATTGGAAAAACGTTTGGTTAATTCGATTTTGAATGCAGTAACAGACTTTGTGACGTTGCATCTTCTTTTAACAAGAGTATTTATACATCTGGGGACTGATTAGATTGGAAGCTGAGCCTTTTAATGTAAATAAAGAAACCTAACCTAAAGAAAGGTCCTCTCTTAATCATACTTGTGGTTCGATGATGCTTTAACAAACCTAACTTCGATATAATCACCTTTGAATACTTGGTATTGCTTTTTTTCTTCTTTTAGGCGGTTAAAGTCAAAACATCCAAATACACATCCCACACAGGTGAGAAAAACAGTTTTTTTTCTTCAAAATATTTTTTTGACTTTGTGCTACGATGCAATTCTGAGAGTATTTGTTACAAGGAAGTTAAGAAGTAGAACGCATGCTGAAACATCCTTTTAGTAAACTTTTTTGTTTGCTTCCGCTGGCCAAACTATTATTAGATGTTTCCTGTCCCTATGTCCGGTAACAGATCATTTAGATGTTATCATCTGGTTAAAAATGGACTGAAAGCTGATCGACTTTAAGAGGAAGTAAAGTGCGCTGAAGTTGACTGCACATGTGATCCTTTTTTTCTTTTTTTTTACAGACCATGGCTTTACAAGAAGCTGCCGGCACAGCTGAAAACCAGGACATTCATTACGGAGAAATTGACTTCTCT